TCTCTCTCTCTCGTTTCAACCACCCAAAGAGGAACTTACTGTACTTCAGTAATATGTGGTGATTAATCTGGAGTGCCTCCTGTTTGCTGTATTTGCATCACAAGCTTCTCATTAGTAGATAATATTATGGACCCCACCCCACCCACACATCGTCCAACCGCCTATGTCATTGTCTCCCATCTAGAGTGTTTGAATAGGGTATATTAATGATTTACTTTGATAAAGCTTGACTCATTAAATGCAGTCCTTTTTTCAAGTAATCTGAACTGTATTGGAAATGTTCCAAAATGTGCCAGTGCAGCCTTTTTAAGCTTGCACAAAATGCAGGGATTAATGTGCTCTAAAAATATTGAGAGTACTTAGTTTATTGCTCTGTTTCAATATTCTTATGGTCTGTGGTAGTTGGATTGGTTATATTAGAAAGGCTATGAATGAAATTCTGCTTCTATAAAAGCTATACAAATGTATATTATTTTTAAGTTGACTTATATTAATTGCTTTCCAGGAGATCACTTGTTTACTATTATTTACTTGCAGTGCTGCAGTGCTTTATGGCATAAAGTTAGTTTCATGGACATACTTGTCTCTTTACACATCTTTAAGTGAGAGATTGTACTGAGTTTGAGGTTAGGGTCATATTGGTTCTCTCTTTCCAAGGCCATTCTGATGATAAAAGTTTAAATTTGAAATCATTTTCTCAGAATCTCTTATTCAAACGCTGAAAAAAGCTCATTCGAAGTGTATTAAAACCCCATTTAGGTATATTTTGTTGATCAGCCTTATTTGAAAGGTAGTTTGTGTTGCCTGTCCTTGCTGTGCATTAGAACTTTCCACTGATAAAATGGCTTTGTGCTTCTGTGTTATCAGTAGTTCATAATCTCCTAGCACTGAGCTGAGAGTGCTTGAGGTTTTGAAGGGATATAAAGCAAAAATCAAACTCGTACTTGAGAAGTTTCAAGGTTGAAGGATAGACAGACATTCATGAAGTGTCTGTCTGTGTTTTGAGAATATAGCAGCGGATATTGTTTATTTTGTGTGAAGTGTGTTCGTTTGCCATGTTATGTGTTTTGTTTAATGATTATTACTGGTCCTGATATGCTCTTTGGAAGCGTGGCCGGTTGTAGGGTTCTATTGGCAAGTCTGAATTCTTTATAATCCTTCTGTTGGTTTTGTCTGTTTGTCTTTCTTTTCCCAGCATTAAATGAGCTTTTTTTTTGTGGAGGTCTGTCTCTATAAATTCTGATACACTGTTAGTGAGGGACAAAGAGAGTGGGCAACATCACAATATGCTGTAAGCGTGTGGTAAGGTTGACACAAGTTTTGAATACCTTGCAGGTGTTTATCAGATATTAAAGATTAGAGCTTCTCTTGGGGCTAAGTGTTCTCTCATGGGTAAAAGAAGCTAGTTTGGGGATATTTTCCTCGTGAGGGGGTAATAGGTGAGCCTCTTGTTTGGCATATTGAGAGGAGCTATGGATTAGTCTAGTCTGTGATAAAGAAATAAAAGGTGTGCTTTGATCAGTCTGCGTACTTTGTACTGGTTTGATAGATTCGTATATATAATATATATAATAATATATCATTTTGTTGTAACACTTGTACAGGAAAAAGAGGATAACAGGAGTAATTGTTTTTCCTCCTGTTAGAACCAGCATTTTTGTATTTATTATATATTTTTAATAAAAGACAATAGAGTTGAAACTTTCAGGAAAAGACAGAGAGCTGTGAAAGATTTTAGACTTAATCTCTTTTTTTTTAACACTTTTCCGCCACATCTCATCGATGTTTACCACCCAGTTTCTTTGGATTTTCCCCACCAAAATGCCTTTGCCTTTTGATGGCAAGGGTTTTTACTATATTATATGAGCCTTGTGATGGCAAAGTGTTAATACAGAAACTGTAAATGACACATGTTCAGACTTCCTTGATTGTTTTTCCCCCATTACTGGATCTGGCCATTCAACCAAAGATCAGGCTTGCAACTTTTTCAAACACTTACTAAAGTTTTATTCTGAGTTGAGCTCCATTTTCTATTGGGCACAGTCACCACTTTGTAGAGCCTTGTACTTGCATACTTCTACAGTTGAAGTACTTACCCAGCAATAGTAATCTCACTTTTTTATGTGGTAAATTATGAAGCAGGTAGTTTGATGGTGAACGACTCTTTGGTTGTGCATCTTTCAGTGGTCTCTGATTTCTGTATCTAAATTACTTTTTAAAAGGCATTTCAACACTGCCATGATGTTAAGATAATATCATATGTGCTTCTCTGATTTAAACTAAAACTCTCTGAAGTTGAATTGGGTTGTTTTTGTTTGTTCTTTTTATATTTATCAAGATACAGACACTTGCCATTTTACACTTTTTGCTTGCGGTCATGTTGCAAAACTATCTCTATAAAAGAAAACAAAGTTTTAAAAATAATATGATAAATGTGAAAGTTAAATGCATTAAATGTGGCTATACAAATTTTATTGAAACAAGGTTTGGCCATGCAAAATATCTTTTTGGCTTCCTGAGAAACGGAAAGTATAAAAATGTATTTGTATTTATGCAAGGGCTGTGTGTGTGTTGGTGGGAGTTATTGTGTGGCTACAGCTGTGACAGCAGACGCAAAGCCAAAGCTGTGTCACAAATAAATGTCACAGAGGCAGGGAGTAAATTCTTTGACCTCGTTTTGATATAATGTGCCTCTGTGAATGGGGGCGTTGTGAATTAATATTTTGAATACACGCAACCAACGGCTCAAGCCTTGTTTATGTTGAAGAAGGAATAGACAAAGAATATTCTCAGATTAAATTTGACTAGTTAGTGCTGGTCTTGGTATATAAATTAAAGTCTACCGAAACAGTAAATCGGATAGTGAAGGGATCTGTGAATGAGAATATGAAAGGTACTGCTGGGTATTCTTCTCTACTAGGTACAGATAGTGATGAGAGCTCGCAAATTTCTGTTCTTCTGTCAATATCAATTCTATTATCATGAAGACTTCATACTAAACTTTTGGTGTGTAGATTCATTTTTCCCTCTTGTGTTCTCAGCGGTATTGACGGATTTTATTCAGTTTTAAAAACAGCAAATTGATTTTGTTGTCAAGCTCTGTTTTCAAATTTTTTTTTCAGTATAGATTTTTGTTGTGCTTTTTTCTGTTTCTTTTTTTTTGTGGAGGAAGTGATTCTTCATAGCTGAAACAGGACAGGTAAATACAGGAAGGGAGAGGGAAAGGTTTGAAGTGTTGGCTGCTTGTAAATTAGGGATGAGTCCACATTTTGCTGTGTTGAAATTCATAGGAGTGTCTCTTGTGTGTTCTGACTATTGCTATCTTGCATGGGATTGTTTACTTTGTTAAAAAGATTGTTAGACTATAGTGTCTCCAGCTTTCTCATTCAAATTGTTGAATGTGTATGCCAAGGTTTGTGAAAAAAACTGGTGTAAAAATCTGTGTAAAGAACAGACTTATGTATGATTTTACCTAAATTTGATATACATGCACTGGAGGCCATTTGACTTGCTGGTGGTCATGAAATAGGAAGTTGCCTACTCTGATGGTGTTGAAGGGCTGCTTTCCTTTTCTTTTTTCCTTTGAAGAGTTGAATTTTTATTTTTTTTCCCCTCTAAACATTACCCTACTATTCTGAGATGAGGTCCCCACCCCCCCTCCCCCCTTTTTTTTAAAGATTACTTTTATCGAAGTGGTTGTCATACAGTGTCACTTACTATGTTTGAAAAAAGGTCTTCTGTATTTTTGCATATTACATCCTCGTGTTAAATGCTTTCCATCTCAGTAATTTATCCATCCTTGTCAGATCATTTTAAAAGATACATTATATATGTTTTGTTTTTTGTGCATGCAGGGTCAGGAGGTAGTACACCAATGAAGTTGCTGACTTCCCAATGAAGAGGTCCCACTATTCTGAAAGATGAAAGTCATCGGATCTAAACTCTGTTGCTTTCCGTGAACAACAATCCCAGAAATTTTTCTGCCACTTTGAGGAAAAGGTATGCGACACGATGTCGCTGGACACTGGCAATTTTACCGAGGACGCTAATGGAACCTCAGTGACCACCCCTCCTAACATCTGGTTCCCGTCGGAACCTAATTTGCCGTCCTACAATGTGACCCATCTGGTTCCTCGTGGTGACGCGGGGAGTTGTGATGTCAGCACGAAATATGGCATCATGGCCGGCATTATGGCTGTGGTCTGCTTCATGTTTGGTGTTCTGTACACATTTTTCGGTAAGTTCTTTTTCTCTATGCTTGCTGCGGTAACAGAGAAAAGATGAAGCAATATTAAAGACGTAAAAGAAAAATTATTGTTATTATAGACATGTGCTACAGCTGCCATCCCACAATGGCATGAAATAATGTAGTGAAAGAACGTTTTAACTTTGTTAAATTTATTTTCTTTAAATGAACTGAAGTTTCTAATAGTTTATATTTCTGAAATATGCATAGGTATTTAGCAATTTTGTTGTTTCTTCGTCTCCTTTGTTTAGGTAGTCATAATGAGACAATGTCCACTGTTCTGTTTCCAAGTGGAGCAATGTACAGTGTAGGTCTCCAAAGCGTGTTCAAAAGTCACACACAGGATATATCTTATGACCAGTGAAAATTAAAGGTATGAATTAATAATTGGGTAGTATTTTTATTCACAGTCTATTCTTTTTGAAAATGTACATGCACTGCTTCTGTGTTGATATCAACCTATGATTTCAAATTGTTATTATTTCTGACAGGGTACTGTTCATTATATGTCACGCCACTTCTGACATGTTCTCATTTAAAAAATTTCTAACAGGTTACCGTTTCTTCAAGGCCATCATGTTCCTGACTGGTTTCATCTTTGGCACGGTTTTGGTTTACATGATACTCGAGGAGCATGCAGTGCTTCCCCCTTGGGGCACACTAGGGGTGGGTGTCGGTGCAGGAGTGGTCCTTGGGCTAGTCACGATGCTCATCCCGCACACAGGCCTCTTTCTGACAGGCTTTGACCTGGGCGTGGCCGTCGGAGGCCTCATTCTAGTCCTGGTGGAACAGTTTGTGCACCCGAGTACCAAGTGGATCCCCATCTCGGTGTTGGTGGTGCTTGGTGTGGTTTTCGGTGTTGTGGGGCTTCGCTTCCAGCGCGTTGTGACAATTGTGAGTACTGGTGTTCTGGGAGGAGCGCTGGCATTGGCGGGTGTGGATTATTTCGTGGAACTGTCGAGGATGTCCCGCTACTTCTGGGACCGAGTTCTGGCCCACCACTCGGCTAGCCCATGCTGGTACAGCTGGCTCATGCTGGCCTTGTGGCCGTGCTTGACCTTCGCTGGGGTCTTGGTTCAATGGAGGTTCACAGGGTCGGGCATTGACCACAGAATTGGTGAGTGGTAGGGGGTTGACTCCATTCCTATTCCCCTGTTGGACAACTTCTTACTGTATTTTCATAAAATTGGTCTGGACTTAAGAAATTACCTGGTCTGTTATTCATTATTTATGTCTCATAAAGTCATCTGTAATTTCAAGTTGTCCAAAGCTAAAATTTATTTGGTTATTAAGAAAGGAAATCTGTAAACGCCTAAGTTCAGAAGCAAAATAATACGGTAGTCCCCACCTGTTGAAACAGAAATGTTTTTAACTTTGGGGATAATTGTTTACTTCATTACAATGCACTTGCTGGAATTTTAATGAGTTTGTTTATTGTGGTAGAAGATGTGATGTTGCTTGTCTATGAACATCGGACTACGGATCTTTGTTTAAAGGACATTCCCATGTAGGTTGTTTACAAATGTCTGATTCAAAATTTATTTGTTGACAGCGTTCTCAACTGTTGATGAGAGATTTGCATGATCATCTGTGACAGGTTCTTGGGGCTGTGGGTTAAATATAGCATTTGTGGTTGTGTTGGAGAGTGTCAGTTTACAGAGAAAAATGCAAGGGTCATTTGTGAAGGTGGTCGTAAAAGCAGTTTCGATTCCACCAATGTTTTGTTTGAGGTCTGTAAAATAACTTCTCAGTAATTTGTTTCTCACTAGTGACTCCTGGCTCCCAATGGTACTTTTTTTTACAAAGAATATATTATGTACATGGAGTCTGATTGTCAGTGGTTAAGTCTGGATAACTTGGAATGGTTCTTACTTTGATTTTAAATAGAGATGATCAATGCCTGTGTGCCATATTCTGAGAGTGTTTTGAATAAATCTTTCATCTATATATTGTCAGCCCTACGTAGCCGAACTGAACAAGGAGCAAATCTTCAGCATGCAAGAGCCCGAGAAAAGCGAGAATCTCAGCAGACACGCTATAGACATCTGTACCAAGCGAGGAGAGTCAAGGGAGATGTGATATCACAGGTGAGGATTTTCATCATGTCAGTTCTGATTGCAATTATTTATAATGTGGATGGAAGACTGATGTGTGAAGTAAAAGTGTTCCCGAGACTTATATTTAGTTTGCTTTTATCGTATTAAAGTGATAGCAAAACAGAACCTAATTAAATCTCATTTGATGTTGCCAGTCTTGGACATATTTTCCTGCCTATTAGTAATATCTTGCTAGCCAGTTACATAACAATTGTAAAAAAAATGAAAAAATAGCAGTGGTGTTCCGCTAACAGTAACCCCCCCCTGTGAAACACTCATTGGTTGCTGTTTGGTGGAGGTAGGCTAACTGAATTTTTCTAGAGGAGGGAGGGGAGGCGGGAGCGCAAAGATAGATTATGATAACATTTTCCCCTCTCCTCCCCCCACTACAAACACAAACCAAATCACAGTATGTGGTGATGTTATGTGAGAAAATGAGAACACAGGCAGTGTTTGAGCATTAGGGGTGATGTTATGCGCAGTGGCCAAGACTTTTCCCTTCAGATTTTTTCAGGAAGGTAGCTCTGGGCAAAAGGGTGTGAACTAAGCTCTTGTACTCAGCGTAGTGCAGTTTTGGTCCAGGCAGTTGGATAAAGAAGAGGATACAAACACACTGAAATTATAGACCAGTTCACAGTTTTTTTGTTCTTCAAAATAAAATTTTCGGCGAACAATTTATAGCGATAAAGGTTGCTGTTAACAGAAAATGTTACTGTTCAAGGGGGATATTTTATACAAGAAAAATTCCATTAACACCTGCTCAGATTGCTGTAAGGTGGAAGCTGCCCTTGTCTGGGTTACTGTTAAACGGGCACTACTGTAGCTTGTAATCACCTGGTGATACTCATAACGAATCAAGGTTCTGTGGTTCGTCAGTGTTCATTTCTGCAGGATCATTGGAATGAGACTCCTGGCCGGGTACAAATTGTTAAAGAGAAGAACGAAACTCTGGAGTTGTTGAAACTGTGAGATATGACATAAAGAATTGTCAAAACATTTTGAGCATCACAAAATGCACAGCTTGGTATTTTCATACTGCTGTTTGAAGTAACAGCTTGTAGTGTCTCTCTAAATGTTATCTGAGCTTGCTCACAGAGCTGTTTGGATTGTTTTTTAATGCAAAGTAATGAAATTTTAAAAATATTTTATATGTATCACATTCTCAGAACTTCACTGTAAGTATTTAGCACATACTTTTGAACGCAAACTGGTGATGGGGTCAAGTGATTTTTACTCATTTTCACGTTCCCAGAACTTCATCCAAAGTATTCAGCACAAACTTTCGCCGGCCATGCAGAGTCTGACGGCCCTGAACGTGGAGCCCAACGAGGAGGAGAGCACAGCCACCACCACACTCACACAGGTCTCGTGATCTTTCGGCCGCTTTGCTCCTCCTGCTGAGCGCCAACAGAATAATGATGTCAGGCTCAAACCGACAAACACTAGAATTGTCCATCTTATATAAGAGTAAAGAATGGCTGTCTATTTTTCCTTTCTCCAAGGCTAAGCTAATGTGCAGGTTACAATTTTTAGAGATGTGAAGAACTTTATATTGCTGTCACGGAAAAATGTTTTACACCTATTGACACTATCATGGTAGATACACATGTCCATGTAATTATGTTTCTCTCGGGCAGGCGCTCAAAACATATCATGCGATGACACACATTTAGAATTAATGAATTGGTGAATTGGGGAAAATTAATGCTTGAAAATATCTTAGAGTTGCTGCGAAATTTTTCGTGAATTTGAAAAGGCTTATTGTGTTTTCTGTCATGGTCTTATCGGAGATTCTGGGGAGTAGGATCTGTTTCCTTTTTTACCAGTAGTACATTTGTTACTATCCAGTATAAAAATTTCTGACTTTGATGGTTTGTGCGTGAGGCCATTAGTTGGTTGCTGGCATTACTTTGTTGTGTCAGGGGAGATTATTTTTAGTGCGTCTTTATGTCTCACTCAGCCAATACACTATTTGTTTTCGTGTCATTTTGATAAGCTTTTGTTCATTTTTTTACTTGATCTTGCATATACAATTTTTTGTCTTTTCTGTGTTTGTTTGTCAAGTCATTTTGTGTGTGCTTGTGTTTAGGTTTTAAAATTCCAAAGCTTACATATAATGATTAAAGTGAGACTACCTACATGTGGGTTAATTAGCTCAGTTTGTTTGTTTTTTGTTGTTTTTTTTTGGGGGGGGGGTTTCGATACTTCTTTTGGATTTCCACATCTAAAGATCATGTGGCAGATAATTCGGTTTGTTTGTTTGGTTAGAGTTTTACGGCTCTCACAACTGCATATGTCATATATGAGTGCGCACAGTAGATGATTCTATTAAGGCGGTAGCAGATGGTGGGAGGGTGCCACCGGCAGGTCCTACTTTTTTACTTTCCATCTATTGTTTCAGTCTGTCTTACTTTTTCCCCGCACAAAATGACCATTAGTGTATTGATGTGCTTCTTTTCACTCAAACAGGTGTCCCTTCCTCCTTTTGCACAGGTTCATGTAAACACAGGCTAAAGAGCTCTCTTGAGCACCTTGCGTTTAGATGGACACTACTGTATTCTAGTTTTTGCCTTTCTGAGATTCAGAGTTATATTCCTATTTTCAAAGGTATGATCGTAACCTGATCCTGAATTGTGCTTTGATGGCAGGTCTGAATGTAGCTGTGTTACTACTTGTTTCTGGCTTTTATAATTTTATTAAGTATCTGCATCAATTTACTGGGGTTAGCCTTTACAGGCAGCATACTAGAAGTCCCCCCCCAAACTGTCTAATTTGCGTCGAAGAGGGATAAAATTTAATTTGCAATCATAGGTGATAAGACATGGGGGAGGCGGAAGGTCCTTGGTGATTCTTCTATTGTGTGTTCTGAGACCATTACTTCTTTTCGCATTTTAGACCAAAACAGAATCTCACTAAGCCCCCACAGAAACAACTCTTGATACTTTTTTGTATCAGTGAGTGTGTATTGACATTTACAGTATTTTCCGATTTTGTAAATTTCCGGGTTTTTAAAAATGCTGATGCTGACTTCTGAAAGTCTTGATTTTAACACTCTGATTCCTGTCCTTGGCTTGCGTACACTACTTGGAATATAGAGCAGGGAACATAGTGTTAACTACCTCCAGTGAGACTTTCTTTTTCATGAATGTTATACTAGTGTGTGGTTGTTTTTTGTTCCTTTTTTTTTTGTCTTTGTTTTGTTTTTGAAATATATACATTTTTTTTCCTTCGCACTTGTCCAAAAACTGTATTGTACTCATTTTGAAACCTGTGCTTCGATTATACTTAGTTTGTTCATATATATATGTGCGTATTTATATTTTTGTTTATGTAGAAATAAGGAATATTATTTTGTGCAAAATGCAGTATTTCAAATCTGTAACAGTGAGCCGTTAGTTAGTCTAGCTTATGTTCCCACAGCTGTTGTGATCAATATTCATTTGTAATTTTTATTGTTCTATTGAGTTTGTCATGTTGTTTTCCTCATCTTCTGATATTGAGTCCATTTCAGGATTCTCATTGGATGATGGTTAGCTGATGAAAGGCCTGCTGTAGCAATACTGTGAAAAATGTATGCTTTCTCCATGTTGTTACCATTTTCCTGGCTTGTTGTACGAATTGGTCAAGTATTTGATAACAGGAATGAAGTAGATATATGTTGAAACTCATGTGAGTGTATCCCAACATCAGTGGTTTGGTTGTTTGCCTTGCAAGAGGGGAAGATATTTTATTTTAAGTATTTCTTTCTACCAGGATGCTTCCTCCACAACTTGGGTTAAAGCTGCCTGCCTCTTAAATGATCTAAATATTATTCTTATTGATGGGGGTGTATAACATTTGCAATCATGTGAGTGTATGAATGTGCCTAAACTCTTTCAGGCAGCTTGACTTTAGAGTGTATGTGTACAGAATATTGGATACTTACTGTGGTTTGCTAATTGATTTTATTTCATTCTTTAATGGAGAAAATGGAAAAAAATCATTCACGCTTTTTATACATGTGCTTGAAGAGAAGTATTTACACTTGCCGAGAAAGATGATGGCAAGAAAAAGTATGTTTTGACTGAGTGAGACAGCAGTTGTTGGTTTTCTTATTTTATTTATTGTGCAAGCACAGCCTGATTGGTTCTCTGTAAACAATTTGTGATGACTGTTATTGTAAGGAGAGTTATGGGACTACTTGGTAACAGAGCAGATAATAGATTTGACTGGTCATCCTTTTTTTTTAGGTGGGGGGGGGTGACGTACAATATTCATATATATTTATCTTCTTAAAATTGTAAGCGTTTCCTTCATGAATGTAGATTGTTTGTTAAATTGTCACAATTTTCTCTGCATTGTCATGTCATCAAGTTGTAGAACATCATCATTCGCTTCCCGAGAAGCTGAGAATGTTTCGGAATGTTCTATGGTCTGCTGGGGTAATAATATAGTGTAAAGCGCATAGAGCCTGCTGTTGAGCGGGGATATGCGCTATACAAATGCTATCTATTATTATTAGTAGTATTTTAATTGTAAAAACTGGTTGATACAGATGTTTTTTTAAGGTTGATGGAATCTTATGTAAAATGTACGAATTTCTTCCCTAGCCTAGCATTCCCCTTTTCATTTACCATTCTTTTCTTTCCTTTTCATTTCTTGTTTTCATTTAGTTTTTGTTCAAGTGTGTAACGACATGGGTATCATTTTCTAGGAAGGTGTTGTTTATGGTTGCAAATTAATTATAGCCTTTTTGTGAGTGAAGGCCACACTTTTATAGTTCATTTTCTAGCATCTGATCTGTTTTGTACATTTTGCCTGCTGCTGTTAAAAGTATGAATGTTTGAACCAAGCTGTAATGTGTGTGTGAGACCTCACTAAATTTTTTATTTTTTTTTTTCTGATTGACCAGGCATATGATTGTGGATTTCTCACTTCACTCAGTATGGATGAAAATGCTTTTCTCTTTGTATTCCCATGTAATGAAAATGTACATACGAACCTCTTTAAGAAATTCCTACTTTTGTAGCAGATGATTGTTTTACTCAAAGACTTCTACCTGTGGTTTTTTCCCGGACATTCCTGTTGTGGCTTAGATTACATATCAACTTTTTAGTTTATTTTCAGCAGCAGTTATGTCAGAATTGATGAGATTTGTTCAGGGACATATTATAGCTCTTTGGGGCTTTCTTATAGGTTTTTAAAAAGATAAGTTTTTGTTTTTGGTTTGGCGTCTCCTACAAGTGGTCCATTTCACAAATGACAAACTGAAAAACCAAATCAGGCGCACTAGTTACCTCAGTGGAGACCTGACCACAGTGAAGAAATGGAAACCAAAATGCTAAAGTGATACTGCCGCTTTGGGTGACTTGCCAAGACAGTTTTGCAAGGCACAATATAAGTCGGAAAAGTTGACGATGGCAGAGAAATAGAAGGGAGGACATAATGCTAGAGTGGGCAGGCCCGAAGCTCGGAAAGTGAGAGTACAGAGAGAGATGATTGTAAAAATAATGTGAATTTTTGTTGCGCCTGATCCTTAGAAGTAGGGCTGGATCCTGCTCGCCAAATCTGAGAGTGGCGATTCACGATTCAGTCGGCTCCAAAGAATCACGAGTACGCGAGCGCTTGTGGAACTGCGGCGGAACACTGACTGAAACGGAACAGTGTCATATCAATGCCACTTGGCGAGCGCGAGTCCCACTCTTGTTGTTCCGCCATCCTCTCCGCCCCACACCCTTTGTTGCGCTGCTCTATCTACTGACCTCAATTAGTGACCCCCCATAAATTCAAAACCCCTCCCACCCCCAACCCCATGATTCGCTAAAACAATGGCTCCATAAAATTCCTTCTGTCTATTGGTTGGACCCTGTTCATTTTGTATTAATAGGGGGGTTGGACTATACCATCTTTTGTAAAATAAGGGGAGCCATACTAAGTGTTCTGTTCCGTTCTTGCGCTCGTCACTCGACTCAGCAGTAGGTTAATAAACAAGCCACAATGTGGTGACAGCGACAGTGGAGTGAATCGGGAATCGTTTGGCGATACTGTTCTGTGTTCCGCTGAAGTGAATCGCGAATTGCCTTCCGCAGGCAAGAGTGACGATTCAGTTCCGTGCTTGCGCTCACGATCCAGCCCTACCTAGAAGGCATACAATGCAGAATTAATCTTTCGGTCCAAGTGACCAAAAAAGAAGACAAAAAATGGACATTGTGAGACCATATAACAACTTGCATACTCGCACACACTTGACTCTCTGATCCACGAACATTCTAACAAACAAAAATTACTAGCAGAGGACAACATTGAATAATTGTGCCTTAAGAATTCTTAGTGATTTTGAACTTTCTCTGATAACGTAAAAAGCATTTCTTTTGGGAGGCAGTTCCAAATATTAGGGGCATGGGAAGAAGAAGCTTGTCCGTCCAACTTGTTAGGCCTTACTGTTGGTGATGTCAAGTTTTCTGTGATGATTTCACAGTTGATCACTGTGAGATGTGCCCGAAGTTGGATAAGTATAAGGATATCTTTTTTTGGCAAATTAAGCCATGGCATGTCAGAAAACACTGGATACTTTTAGTGAAATGAAATGGTCCACTGATAATTTTGTCAATTTTCTATTCATTTCTTAATTTTTATTTTTATATTTAATTCTTTGAAAAGGGGGTGGGGGAGGGATTACATAATACTTCCATTCTTTTAGACTAGCAATCTTTTTGTATATGATGATTGAATTGAAGGCTGTCAAGAGTTCTGACATTTCTGCTGCTGATTGTCTCTAAAAGTGGGTTGTTGTGACTCACTGGCTGGCACCCCCATGCTCATTGTGGCTAAAACATGTCAGCTTAGCTTTTGTGATTCCCACTAACCATGTAACTTATATTGTTAACTGTTTTCATTCTTTGTGATGAGGTCAGCAAGTCGGAGAGGGATCATATTCTTCGTCTTAACTTGTCCCAACAGGGAGTTTATGTATTATTTTCAGGTATGCGAAAAGGATGTGTTTCTGTAAAGGATGTTTCCGACTTGTTGCTACCTCTCCCATCATTCCATTCTTGTTTTTGTTGGGGGGAGGGGGGGGGGTTCTTTGTAATGTTGCTGTTACATATGCAGAAAAAAACATTTCGTTGACTGAAGTGTCAGTTTACATAGAGAGGAAGTTATTATCATGATTTTGGAGAAGTTTTCTGATAAGGCTAAAAACCTGGTTACAATAATATTTTCATGTTTGGACCATTTGAATTACAGACTGCAGTCGCTTGTTGAACTTGCGAAAAAGGACAGACATATGGGACGCAGGAAACAAACTCTCAATTTCTGTAAAGAAAAATGATTATACCAAAATAATGGCATGCAGGTTTGGTTCTTATCCAAGGATATGAAGATGTACATCTTATTGTGTGAGTGTAGAGCAGATAAGAATTTTTCGTTTATTTCTACTGCTACTTTGTCTATTTCGTCTTCTTTTTTCTATTTCTAAATATCTTCTTTTTTTTCTTTTTTTTTTGTAGAAGCCGTGTTAATAAAAATGCAATGCAAGATGTGCATTTTTCTACTCTTTCACTTGACTGTCTGGAATGCTCAGGCTTGTGCAACGAAAGTTTACTGCAAAGTGCTTTTTTTCATCTGTCGAGCAGCTTATGATGTAGTTTTGGTGCTCCGATGTTACAAACTTTTACCTTGTCTTTATACCCACCCTAAAGTTTTTACAGTTGAAAGAGATCCCTTTTCTCTTTCATTCTTCTCTTAAGTATTTCTGTATGTTGTTGATGACTAAACCGCTACACTGCTCTCCTCTCACACTCTATCTACTTCATAGCTTTGGGAGCTTTTTGAGATCAGCAAATCAGTTTTATGCATTGTGGATTATGGTTTTCAAGAACTGCATGACACTGACAGCTTTGTGGGGGGGTGTTTTAAAGAGTAGGGTTTGAAAAATAAGTTTTCACTAGAAAGAGCAAGCTAAGGCCTTGTTTCAAGGAAATGCTCAGTTTCTTGTTTTTTTATCTTCAAAAAATGTTATAAGTGCTCTTTTGCTCTTAGGTTGTTTTTTGTAGAGTCAGCAAAAGTTTGAAAAGTTCAGAGCCAACAATAAATCTTTCAACTCTTTGCTCCTTTCATGCCTGGAAGCTCTGTGCTCGAACACATGTACCGCATACACTTGTAAGTGTAAATTTCAAATGGTGATATATTTATGTAATGTTTAAGGTGTAAATTAATTGCAATCTATATATATAAATTTATGTCAACGGATTTTGTTGTGCAATTTTGTCACATTATATGGTGTTAGATCACTATCTTGCCTCTGGGAGAGGTAACAAAGATTATTATGTCATATCTTATTTTCTGAAATTATTTTACTGTTACACTTGAAAACAAAATATGTTTTTATTATTGTAGGTTTGGTGCCCACATGTTTTTCTTTACCCATAGCTGTAGTACTTAAAACCAGCCAAGGATGTTGCACGCAGAATGAATGTGTTTGCATGTTACATTATAATATGGTCCCTTGGCTGAATAGTCAAATTTGGCCATGACAACCGCCCATTGTTGAAAAGAAAAGTGGTCACTCCAGATAGGTAGTGCTTTTGGATAATGTCATCATATACAGTGTCGATATAAGATAAAATGAGGCACTCGTAAGTCTTTAGGCGTATGGAGTTATTGGTATCATCTTTAAGTTTGTTCATTTTTCTTTCTTTTGATGAGAAAAATACTCATGCATCTTGAATAGAAATTAAGACGTTTGCGATTAAAGGAGGTAGGTCTCGCTTGGTGTCAGATGTAAAATGAGCGAGTAAGTGGCCATCAAAGTTTGGCGACTTCCCAAGTTTAGAGTGGCCTTGGAAACTGCAAATTAAAATTTGTTGTGTCTTTAATCAACCTTTCATGTAAAATTCCCACAGAAATGTGTTTTTATGTGGACAACAAAGATGCAGAGCACCCCCACACAAATTTGATTAAAATTGCGCAACGTGCAGAAAAATGCCTGGGTTTTTTTTCAGTTCCAAATACTTACAGGAGCACCTGATTTCACCATGATGAGACATATTATTTAAAAAATCAGAAGATGGGAAGATTTTGTTTTGACAGGTGGTTGTTAGAACAGATTCTACTGTATTTGAAAGGAAAAGTTGTTTGTGGCCACATAGTGATGGGTTTTGTTGATTTGAATTGAATGAGGAAGAGGCCTTAAGCTGATTGTCAGAGAATCATAATTGTTTGTTAAGAGTAGCTGGGTGGAAAGAAAATAAACCACATCTTCTGTAATGTTAAGGACTTCTTATTCATCTTCCTCTTTCTGACCTGTCTCTGTTTCATACACAAAAGATGCACAGCAATTTGTCATGCCAGGGATTGAAGTATTCCGCCTTGAACAAATTTCTCTTTTGATTTGAGTTCTGTATTGGAATATTAGATTTCATGAGATAAAATGTTGTGAAACTCTGGGAATGTTGTGTTGATTGTTGTTGAAATAATAAAAAGAAGTAGTTAGAATTCTTTTACTTATATAACTGTTGTTATTATGATAGTGACTGTTTTGACTGGAATTTTAATGAGATTGTTTCCAGTGAAAATGAACAGATGAATACATTATGCTTTGACTTAGAGTAATATATTATCTATTGATTTTCAGTATCGAAGGGTTTATATAGAGAGACAGAGCGACATCACTTTAGTTTAGAAAGATGGCTGCATGGTTTGTGCCATTTTTATTTCTCATTTCTTTCTTCCTCTGCTTTGCCCTTAGAGACCTCAATCATTTCTGTTAGTTCAGTTGGTATCATGGTAAAGTGTGATGTGGGTGACCCTCTCTTAAATTCTCAGTGGATTCCTATTTAACTTTGTTTGAAGAGTACCAAATGCTCTCCACCCAATTGGCTCAGTCCTGTCAGACACAGATGTTAGTATTGGAGGCCTCACCTCTTAAATAACGTTACAGCTGTAAATCTGTACTGTTCCCGATCTAACTTCTACTTACTTTAACTCATTAGGAAAATGTTTCTTAAGTTTGTAGCCAATTTTTTGGGTTAATATATTGTGTCTCTCCCCTTTTTGGAAGATATACGTTGCTCATGTGCAAAGTATTCTTGTTTAATTGAATTGCACTTCTCAGGATTTCTGAAGGTTTGGGTAGGAAATTAATTTGTTCGATTTAGAATTTGGCCTGGAAGCCTGACTGTAACAGGTCTTCTTTTCAACCACTTGCATTAGCCATGGTGCTTTTACTTTAAAATACATACTGGAACCCACTGAATTTTTCTTGAATATCTGAAGGAGTGAGGTACTCGAACCCACTTACCCAGGGGTCATGGTTGGAAACTTCCCAAAAAGAATCCAAAATGTGTACCAGCTGTTAAAATATACTACGCCCGAAATTTTGGACTTCAAAAAAAAATGTCAGTTTCTTATTAATTTGTAGTATCGTTCACAGGTGTTCAAGAAATATTTTGTCGAAATTCAAATTCTACATTTTGACAAAGATGAAGTAGATACAATTGCTAAAAGTATGGAACTATTTTTCCTCTCTCCTGT